AGTCTGTCTACACTGGACGCAACAAAGCGACCATTGAAAATCATTTGAAATTTGTGTCGTACGGTGTAGACACGGTGTAACATTTGTTTTGCTTTGTTTCACAGAACTAATCGTTGCCTGGGTTGCGTACGTACAATAATGGTGGATACATTAGCCGAGTGCTAACGTGACAAACTGATGAAATAATAGTTTGTAAACCAAACTATGTCTACTGTAATGTTTGAAGAATGACAGACAAAAGACGCTCTGTCTTAACTTTTAATCAGAACGCAGAACATTAGAGAAGCAGTCCTTGGTAAAATGACATGCACACAACAAAAGGTTCAAATTGTATTTCTGTGGTATCCTTGAACACAGCGTCTTCTCAATATGACGTAAACACACTAACTAGCGGAAGTGTTTGTGGGCAGGTCAGACTCTGTTTGTATTTCGCGGGCAGGCGGGGATTATGCAAATGTGTTACCCAGTGACGTATACCGGTAACAGGCAAAAGATTCGTAAATATGACGACTCGTTAAGGCGATTCAGAATCGTCTCTCTCTTTTGAGAGACAATATCTTTATTTCTCATGCACTTTTTTGATTTACAACTTTGCAGATTGTTTTCATTTAAGGATAGCTACGTTATAAACTGCAAAAGAGATATTTTTCAAAAACCTATATGACTTGCTCTTTAAGCGACTGAGGTGTTTTGTTGTTGGATGTAATAATGAATATAGCAGTCATCATGTACTCACATCTGAGCCACTGAAGACGCAGAGGATTAACGTTACTTTCATTTTTGAAGGGAATGCGCCGATCCCAGATCTGCCTAAATGCATCTATGTTTGCGCAAATCATTCATGATCCAGCTTCATCTACAGAAGAAGTGAGTAAAAGCTTTTTTTATGAATCTTTGCAAATCGCCTTTCCTAATAATATGCTAGTTAGCCAGTTTCTCGGCTGAAGTTTACAGTCTGCTCATCATCCCACGGAAGAGAGCAAAGCTCATTAGCATTTAAAACAACATGGACCAAAAAAACAGCTGGCTGAAAACAGAGCTGATTTTGACAGGGTAAAAAGGGTGTTTTTTTACACTGCCATTGATACATTTCAACCATATTATGTTATAGACTTTTCATTAAGACCCTAAAGAATCATATCAACTTGTGGAAAATGGGCATCCGATGACCCCTTTAACAGTTTAAATTAATACATTCCATGTAACAATGGAAAAACCTCAAGTCATCTGCATTGTTCTTGGTAAATGTGACATTTCTACACTTTCAAAGAGTAACTAAAAGAGCAGAAAGAGATTTGGGTGTTTGGCCACTATAAGGTAATGTTTCAAACAAAAATGATTTCTAGAAGGATCCATGTGATATGAAAGACATTCTTATTGACTCAATCAGGTCAACGAGTAAAAGGTAATTGCATGTGTAGCAACATGTCTGCTAAGATACATTTGGATACCATACATAGGTCATTACGGACTTTGTGTAATTTCCACCAAAGGCTTTGACAAATAATTTCTATTGACACGTTTTTGTCAAAAGTCTCTTTAGACTGAGATGACAAGAATAGATTAAAATAACAAATTATCATTATAGTTCCAAAAATTATTGTGCTTTTACTAACATTTTGTCAGGAGGGTCTCTAGAGTCTCTAGAATTTTGGATTTCAGCAACATCCTGATCAGAGGACCAGAGAGAGAAAATGCTCGTTGCAAAAACATGGAATAATCCAGCTCTTAGGTAAAACTTAAAGGGGTCATATGATGCGATTTCAAGGTTTCCTTTCTCTTTGGAGTGTTACAAGCTGTTCGTGTATAGATAAGATGTGTAAAGTTGCAAAGACTAAAGTCTCAAACCCAAAGAGATATTCTTTATAAAAGTTAAGACTCGTCCACGCCCTCCTAAAACGGCTCGTTTAAACACGCCCCCACATATCTACCTCACTATGTGGGAACATTTGCATAACACCGCCCAAATGTTTACACCAAGAAAGAAGGCATAACTTTTATTCTCGCTGTAGTATTGTTGCCGCCGCCGCCTTGTCGTGGAGACGCTGTGTGTTTCATTGTTTGGCCTTCCAAAAGAGGACACGACTAGAAATCAGTGGTTAAGTTTTATTTACAACACTGTTCCAAAATAGTTCAACCCAAATATTCAGATGTGTGCAGCGCATTTTACAGAGGACTGTTGAGAAAGTAGCCTACAATGCCATCTACACACAAAGGCTGTTTTTATAAAGTGGGGCATTTCCAACTTTGCAAGGACATTCTGGTGCTTCTGACTCACAGCCTGTAAGTACGTTTTCATATTTAAAGGATTTGCCACTGACGATTCAAACACGAGTTTTGAGCAGTGTAGAGTAGCGCTTGTTGTTTGTCGTTGCTCTGATCACAAATGCAGACATGGTTTTATATTTACGCGGCACGATGCAGCGCAACGCGGAAAAAGGCAGTATAAGTCATTATAATCAGTAATTATGTCCCCACTGGATGCAACAAAGGCCTAATTTATAATGGGTTTTATTGGTTTTGTGTCGTCGTGCCGGGACACGGCATCACAGTATGGTAAGGGACGTAACAGTTCCGTCACACGCTTGAGGTATTCGGCCAATCACAATGCACTGGATAGCTTGCCAATCAGCATACACCTCGCTTTTCAGAACGATGAGCTTTGTAAAAATCGAAGCGTTTCAGAAAGGCGGGGGATAGAGGAGAAACAATAATGTACAGTAAGTGGAAAATAATGTATTTTGAACCTTAAACCGCATAAACACATTTCATTACACCAAATACACCAAATAATGTTTTTTTTTTTTGCAATGTCATATGACCCCTTTAAAAAAAGAAGAAATGAAAATCCACCATCAGACTAGCCACAGTACCACCACACGAGGGCGATGTCAACATGGAGATCAGTTTTCCCAGGAACAGTAGTTTCACCAAACTGATCCGTTGATCATTTGACTGCACTGTAAATCACTGATTGATCCTCCACCATCTGATCAGTACATCTGTGAAATGGATATATCCAGAGATATTGCATCAATTACCTTCACAGATGCCAATTAATACAACCTCAACCAATGCAGGAACGGCATTCAAGAGCGCTCAACAGTGTTCTGATTCAATCTTAATATGATTTATTATGTTATGAACATGCCATGATGTTTCTCACCTCCTTGCAGCATCAGTCCGATATTTTCTAATGTTGTCGTACTGGCTTTCCTCCTCTTCCGGTTGGTTCATCTCTTTATTTCTATGATGCAGGACAGTTACATACTGGATCTCTTCTGTATCTTCAGAATCAGATGCTTTTCCTTCAGTCTGATTGTGACTGAAATTGCTGAGAGTAATTAAGGAATACAGGGCATTGTTTTGATTCGCGGCATCAGATTCAGACAGAGACCTATTGTGAGCTGATACGTTGACATAAAGATCATCCTAAAATGAGAGAAAATGATTTTTATTTATGGCAAAAGGGATGAATACCTTTGTGTATAACATTTGCTTAATGCTCGTTTGATAATTTGATTGACCTGCTTTTGTGCGATGTGATTAGGTCTCTGTTTTTTCCTCCTGTAATAAAGAATCATCTAAAATGCATTTAGGAAATAAGCTTGGTA